CCCAATGAGAAATGTAAATGTGTTGTCTACCTAAAATATAGCAATAAAAGAATTTAAGTAAAAAAAAAAAGAATTACAGAATATGTCTAGGATGCTGTTTATGTTTGTTCTTTGAACTAGATGCTGGTTACACACTTCCTAAAAATTCATCCAGCTGCAAGAACATGATATGTGCACTTTTATGTATTTTCCAATTCCATCAAAAATATTAGAGCAGTGTTTCCCATTTATGTTCTATAGGACTCTGTTGCCTAAAGAAATATTAGGCGTCCTTCCACAAAAGAGTTTGGTGTTCAATGAGTCTGAGGAAAGCTGAGAAAGATACACTTTAGACTTTCATTCTGCAGGACTTTTTCCAAAATGATTGTGATCATATGGACTTTCGCTGCAATGCATCTACTCAACTCATTCTGCCCCCTTCAAGTTTCTCTAAGGCCTCTTTCAGAATCCCAAATTTTGGTCATAACAGAAGCTGCATAAAAAACATGTGGGTCTGTACATACAATTTACCCCAAGTGGAACAAAACCACTTTGAACCTACACTCAGTGTTAAACCAATATGGATCTGCAGCGCCCCCTTTGCCTGGAGGTGTGCACACTTAAAACATGGCAGGGTCTACCCTTTCAAGTACATATCTCATCTCAGTGCTCTTGAACCCATGCAATCTCAGCACAGTGAGCTAGCACACTGCATGTCATTTGCAAATAAATGCAGCAAGGCAGATTTTCAAATATGCCCAAGTTTTCACAACTGTAATATCAAAACTCTCAAGTAACCTGAGCATTCTCCATGGGTTTTTAGCTCAAAGTCAGAGTTTCTCCCAAATACTAGAAAGCTATTATTATGAGCTGACTCCTATAATTACCTTATTTTTCTTGTCACATGTCAAAACAAACATGGCTTCTTCACAACTAGTATGTTGCTTATTCACAGTGGGACAAGCAGCTGCATTCATGGATTTAGGCTCTTATTTCTTTTCTTTTAAACTCTTGTTCACACTTCTCATTGTGAATAAGATTGGCGGAATTTGAAGGCTTTCTCTATGCACATACACAAAAGTAAACAGTATACTGACAGTATATTGTGTTCTATCCTTAAGGTTTATGGGGTTTTGTTTTTTTGCAATTTTAGCTTTTTAACTTGGCTTAACCAGATATCTGGTTTATCTTTGGCTGTTCATTTTTCCAAGTTCTATCAAAAGGAGATAAAGACAATCATTTAAATTTAGTTAATGACTTTTATGAGGATGGGAGCTGAGAAAGGAAGTATGAGTTTTCAAAATGCCAAACAATTTGCTTTAAGTCCTTTGTTTCTCTTCTAGGCATCTGAGTATTAAGTCTTTTTATTTTATTTGGTATGAGCCTAATCAGATATATCACATATCACCCACTGCTCTAATTTAATGAGGACAAGGAAAACCAGACATGGCATTCCAAAACAATGTTTTAAGCCAAGGCATTCATAATAGCCAGTAGCCAAATTATGTTATATTGATTTCCAACATTATAATTCAATTATGCATTTCAAAGAAAATCTAAAACAAGCTAACTAATGTTGTGATGTCCAATTTTGTGAGAAATCATTTGGACTGGAAAACAAGGCTTCATTTCTCATAGTATAGGTAAGAAGATCACACTGCAAACATTGCCCTGTATAATGTTCAGTGAGTAAATACTGCAATTATGCTTTAGATTGCAAAAGACAGTGGGAAAAATAGAAAGAGGGAGATATAGATAAAATTAAATTGAGAGAAAACTTTATAAACCTTAACTCTTATAGTCACGGTTATACTGTACTAAATCAAAGCTGAAAGGCATATAATGAAGACTGCTAGACATGAGTTATATCCAAGACATGGTAAGCAGTCTTGAAAATAATATCTTAAATGTGTTTGCTTCAGAACAAGGAAAAACATCACCAATTGAACACAGAAGTAGAAGAATGACAAGTTTACTTAAGAGAAAAAAATACTTAAAATTTTAATTGAAAAGAATTTCTAGTACTGTGAAATAGAATAGGAAATTTCATGATTGGCTAATTTATGTTCACATAACCAGCAATAATTGCACCTACCTCATTTAAGTCTTGCTGAGTTTCAAAAGCATCCTTTGGCCAAATGGCAGCCCTCTGGTCTATTCTATAAAATACAAAGAAAAATTATTTCCATTTAAAAGAAACCTTTTGACAAAACACATCTGAAGCTAGTGGCTACAGATCTGACCATGCCTCTGTTAAAATCCCTTAGTGTAATCCTACCAGCTGGAGAATAAAATTCAGACTCCTCACAATAGCCAAGAACACATTATGGGGTTTGAACCCTGTCAGCCTTCCTGCTACCACTCTCCCTCTTATCCATAGCCTACAGCCATCCTGGCCTTCCGTTTCATTACACACAGTGTTTGTTCTCTGTTCAACTTTCCACTTGCTGTCCTGAGCCTAGACTCTTCTCTCCCTGATTTGCGTACAATGGACTCTTGTCATCACATAAACATCAGCTCAGCTCACATGGAGGTCTTCTTGACCGTCCTAACCAGAAGTAACCCTCCCTCTCCAGCATACTGTCCTGTGGATTTTCTTCTTAGCACATCTTACTATCTAAAATTTCATGTGTTTATTGGCATTTCTACACTAAAATGTAAAAGAAAGTATTAATTATGTCTGTTTTCTACACAGAAAAATCCTTGGAACCTAGTATAAATTCAATAATTTTTTTGAGTGAACGGATGTGATCCAATACCGTTGTTACAGAAAGATTTATCCGCTGAAGTCAACTTTGGAAATGTCATTTTATCTCATAATTGACATAATATGTGTCCTAGTTATTGCTGTTACATAGTGAAGCTGGGTTTTCCCACTGCATAGCTCCCAATAGAAGAAAAAGGACTTAAAATAAAGCATATCACTTTGAGTTAATTTTCTTTAGTTAAAAAACCTCCACTGCTGGCAGATACTTAGGTCCAAGTGATGATTTGTCAAACTCTGTGGCCCAATGTTATACGTTAGATAATGTTGTGTCTAGATTGCAAGGTCTCTAAAGACCACCAAGGAACCGATTTTGATGTAAACACACGAGGGTCGTTTATTTAAGCTCGAGCAGGGACTCTCAACTGTCACCGACGCAGCGGGTCAAGATTGAGAGCCCTGACTCTAAAACACCAGGGGTTTTTTATAGAGGTTACAGCAGGGCACGGGGTTTTGAAAAGGGCGCGGGGTTTTAAATCACACGCAAATCACACAACTGGCTAGTATTTAGCAAGTTTTGAAAGTTTAAACCTAATTGTCTGGGCCTTGTGCGTTGAACTGTAAACGGCTGTTTAAGTCATCGAAAAGAACATCTGGGATATTGGGGTATTGGGGTAACTATTGATTAGCTGTTGTAGGCCATGGAGAAGAGCATCTGGGACATTGAGGCAGTTATCGATTAGCTGCCGTTAGGCTAGTTGTTAGGGGACTGTTGGACATTATCACAGGTAGGTGGCCAAAGTGTATCTTGTGGGTTTTTTTGGAACTAGAATTTATGTCTAGGCCACCTTTATTTTAAAATGAGGCCAAAACTTTAAAATGGAGTTACTCAGGTCTCACAATAACATTCCAGTTTCCTGCAGCAGTCTGGATGTTGTTATATAATAAACATACTAAACTACAGTTATTATATTTATAAAAAGGCCGGCTATCTTAATGAATAAGAGATTTAGTACGTTATTTATAAAAAGAATTATTTTAGGATATAATTATCTAGTTGTTATTCTATGTCAATTTGAATCTTGAAGAAAATGTATACATATTGTCTGACAGGTCAACAGAATTAATGATTCCCAAATGTCACAATGCACTTAGAAATGTGCATTTAGAAATGTCATAAGCCTCACTTCTTCAAAATATTAAGAATTTCTTTCAGGCCACAAGTGTTGCTAACTGTGCACACAATTTACTTCTAATGAGAAAAGTAAGTAGATGGTAAAGCCAAAATATTGTGCAGGTCAGACTGCCACCTTCCACACCTGCACACCAGCATTTCCCTCTTGGGCAAGAGACAAAACTCAGGGTTCCAATCTTGAGCTCAGGCATAGACAGTTCAAATGAGAGAAGCAAATAAGAAAGAAGACTGCTGGCTTGCCTACCGTCCATCTATCAGTCTCCTGAGCCACCAACATACTGATGTCAGCACTTCAGACACCCAAATTCTCTCTTTCTTACAAAATAGGCTAAAGGACTCTTGGAGACAGAGATTAACACATCATACTCATTAACACCTAAAATTATGAGTGGTTCATAATTTCTGCATAATCTGTAGTAGTTCTCAAACTATTTTTCTATAGAGTTATGGTAGCACCAGATAAATAAAAGAGTAGTGCTATTTTAATGGAGTGAATATTTACCAGTTCACAATTTTCAAACATAATTTCACTAGGGATTTGGTCTCAGTTCCCTGTGAATGAATGGCAGCAGCTGATAAAGCTTGTAAGCCACTAGCAAACACTACTGCAAGGAAGCAGAACTGTCTTTTGTGAAAAAGACTGTATATATTACAGAAGAGTCTATATGTAATACAGTTATATAATCTTCCAGAGATGAGCCTCCAGAACAAGTCTGAGAAATGTAGTCTAGAGTATCAGAGGTGCTTCTTCTATTTACTAGTCATCTGAACATCTACCATATACCAGCTACCATGTTGGAGAAATAACAACGAACAAGCAGAGTCTGTGCCTTTAAGGAAGCTTAAAATCTAATGAAATCTTAAAAGTAATGAACACACAGCCTTGAGACTATTTCAGGAAATTGAGGATCAGGGCACATGAGTTGATATTAGAATATTAGAGAGGCACCAGAGAGGTAGAAACAAGTAAGAGGTATTTTCAGAAACAAAAGCAACCGAGAGATCTTGAGTGTGAGTTCAAACTACAGAATGAAAGAAACTGTTCCAAAATTTTGAGCCTGTATGACAAAGAAAATGGCAGGTGGGTTTTCTAATGGAGGCAGAAAAATATGTAATTTGGGGGCATACAGAAAGGCAATAAAGACAGGCAATTCATGGGTGCAGATAGATATTCAAAATTTGCGGTAAGGCTAAAATACAGAAGTAAAATTCACTGACGAGGGTTCACTTGAGAACTAGAGAACACCCTAGTGTGTCAGCAGAGCACTGCACCGGTGATGATAATTACAGAGGTCATATGTAGGGTCATGGAGGCAGGTGCTATACCAGTTTTTTTCTTACTATGGTTCCTGACATGGTACATGTATCATTTTGGATGGATGGATAAAGAATTAGAACCCAGATGCAAGTGATTTTTGGTCTATAATTTACTAGGTGTGTATTCTTGAACAATATATTGACCTCTCTAAGGCTCAGTTTCCTCATCTGTCAATTGAAGATAATTAATAGCTACCTTATAGAATAATTCATGAAATGAAGGATAATTCATGAATAATGAATAACTATAGATAACTATAAGATAATTCATGAATATGAATTATCTTATAGTTATCTATAGTAAACATAATACATGGATTTTATAATTATAAAAACATCATCTTAGAATATTTACATAATTGGGATAATTGTATATTTTAATAATAATAATACAATTCTTGTTAATAAGATGAAAGAGAGAAGAAATCAGGTCCACTGAGCATGTCTTTGGAACAAACTGTATTAGGAGACAAAAGAAAGACAAGCCTTTAAAAGAAATACAAGAGCATCACTAAGGAGGCAAGAAGGTAACCAGAATTGTCACTCTAAATACTAAAGAGAAATAAGTTATAAGAAAGATGAACATTAAAAGGAATCTAACAATTCATCAGCTCTTATTACACCAGGCTGAGTATGCTGGGAAGTTTATTCACATCATTTTATTTAATACCCAAAGTAACCATATGAGACTAACATTATTTATTTATTAAAGTTTTTTTTTGGTACCGGACTGAACTCAGGACCTTGTGCTTGCAAGGCAGGCACGGTGCCACTAAGCTAAATCTCCAGCCCTGACACTAGCATTACTATATCCATTTGACCTATTTATAAAGCAGGTAGTTGAATAATTTTGTCAACTCGTTTAACAAATATTTATTAAACACTGACTATGTGCTAAGTACTATTGCAGGTGTTGAAAAGAAAGCAGTAGACAAAGCACAGTCTGCCCTCATGGAATGTGTATTTTCCTGGAAGGACAGAAGAGAACAGAAAGAAATTAGTGATGGCCTATCACGCACCAGATGCTCAACACTGAGGAGAAAAAGAAAGAGAGGCATAAGAGCAGGGCAGACAAGAGAACCACCCAAACTCACACTGTCAGAAAGTTTCAGTGACAAAGACAAGAAGAATGAAAACAGTGGACTGAAAACATAAAAGTCATGATAGAACAAGAAAAAGAAATAGCAGCTTCTCATTGGAAAAGGATAGTGGTGAAAAGAGGAGAACTAGAACAGTAGCTACTTGCCACAAATTCCCTTCTTTCTAAAATCTTTAAAGATACTCCTCAAACCATATACAACCAACCCTGCCAGGAAGCTGCCTATACACAAAAGCTCTATCACAGAAAATACGCCCTCCAATTCTCTTACCTCCTTCCATCCACAACAATAATAGGAAAGTGCCTAATACATTTACGTTAATTATATGCTTCTTGAGGGGGCAAAGATGAATAAGTGAGAGTTCTCTGGCAATTCTATTACAACCTTGCTCTCTTAGCCCAGGCTTCAGCAATAGGAGATGTAGCCAACTTCTCAGAGGCCAATTTGGTCCTCAATACTCATGAGTGTGTGAGTTCTCCAAAATCCACCATCGCCATTACTATGGCTACCATCACCACCACTGTCACCACACATCACCAACAAGACCATCTCTGTCATCACCAGAATCACTACCACCACTGTCACAAGTACCAGCACTGCCACCACACATGCCACCATTGCTACTGCTGTTGCTACCACCACCACCAACAACCCCACTATCTAATTCAAAATACAAAGTATTTTCAACAGAGAAATGCAAATTTTAATTGCATGCAGATATTAAAGGAGATTCTCTCTGGACTTTATGATTCTACATTTGTGGACAGCCAATGTCAGTGTAATTTTTCTAAAAATTGTTGGAGTTTCTCTTTTCCTGGGACCCTAAAGCATGTGCTGAGTCAGCCTGTAGGGTTATCCTTTAGAGGACCTCTCTTGGGAAGTGTAATGGAATTCAAAGCAGCAAAACCAACCAAACATTATAATATTTTTCTTGGCCTAAGGACAGTGTTAAACCACAAGATGTGCTAATTTGCAAAAAAGCCACATTTTGGCTCAGGATTTTCTATTTATATCAACAGTTTCACCATCTATAATTAAATTAGTAGAGGAAACTGTTCCCTATCTTAGTGAAAACTTCCTATCTGGCCAATGGCTCATGGAAGACTCTGAAAGTTATCTGAGCCAATATTCTCCTTCAAATCCAATAATGAATTTATTACCAGTCTTTCAGTTTCTTATCCAAAATAACTTTTGAATGTGTCATCACCCCTTCCTCTTCTCCATTGCAATGTTAGCCCAAGCTACCAACATCTCTCGTCTGGACTATCTATACAACAAAAGTTTCTTTCTCCCTAGCTCCCTTATTCCCCCCTCTACTCTCTCCAAGAAACTTCCCACACAAAATTTTGTCACTACCCTTTGCACACTTCACTTAAAATAAATTCCAAAATCCTGAAAGTATTTTATAGCCTCCTGGAAGATTTAGCATCTGCTCATCTCCTCAGTCTCCACTAGTGTCATGTTCTCTCCTGTGCTTGGTCAACCTGACATTCTTCCAGCTCCTTGGAAGTACCATGTTCCTTTATAATTTATGCCTTCAGCTGGACTCTCCCCATGTCCATAATGCTCTTTCCTGTCCATTTTCTCTCCTAATTAACTCATTTATGCATTAGAGATAGGTCTCAAACACCTCACTTTTATACATCTTTACTGTATTTTGATATTCCTTTTTCCATTGTGTAGAAGTAGAAAATGGCTTCTTAGTGCCTAATCATATGTTTGTGTAATGATTTGTTTGACTCTCATAATGGTAAACATTACGGGGCAGGAGCCATATGAGTCTTGTTTAAAATTTTAAATCTGGGGCCAGTCCTTTCTTATAGCAGGAATTCATGTTTGTTAAAAAAAAGTATTCATCCCAGTGTAATAGGCAGCTGCCAATTCCAGTATATTCTGGACTGGGTACAATGATCATAATACAACTCAAAGCTACTTCTTTTTTTTTTTTTGGTACTGGGGATCGAACTCAGGACCTTGCACTTGTGAGTCAGGCAGCGGAACCACTGAGCTAAATCCCCAACCCTCAAAGCTGCTTCTTACACCTGTATCATGCTAGCAGAGCCCACAGGATAGAATGACTCTCATTCCCATAGCAAATACTTCTTCCTGAGAATACCCATTAAAGATTATCAAGTGGCTTTCTAAACCACAAATTAGAAAACCAGGGCAAAGAGAGTAAAAGAGACACAATCCAATACACTTTTCAGAATGCTGAAAGCCTTAAGACTGAATGAAACCAACCTCAGATCATGTTTTAAGATTTAATATACTCCACTGCATTAAACTGAGCTTCTGTATTAGAAAGCAACACTTGGGATTTACTAATGTATACCCGGATGACTGCTGGCTGGCTGTATGACTGTTGTTTCCTGAAACTCTTTTGAAAACAAAAGGTATATCCCAAGAGGACAACCCTTTGAGCAAAACATTCTTTATATATAAACAATAGCTCTATATGCAGACAGAGACAAGATGCCAAAAATTCTAGAAATATTATTAGTAACAATAACAACTAATACTGGTTAATATAAAGTTCCTTTCACTAGGGAGTCTAAGCCATATTAAAAATATTCTTTTACTGCTTCTTATGAAATTTCTGTGCTAAAGGACTGAGGTTAAATGTTGAACAGCCAGCCAGCTTCAAGGTCACAGAGTTTGACCTTATTCCCAGAGACCACTGAAATAAAACAGAATTAGAAGTCAATAGATGTTCATGAACTGACTTTCTAATGCATGTATCCTCTTGTTCAGGCCAACAAACTCCTGTAGAGTGGACAAGGACATCATGGCTAGAAGCAGAATGCTGATCCCCAATTAATACCCTCCCAGTAGCAGGAACCCAAGTCCTACCCTACGCCCACCTCCACTTCTCTAGAGATCAGACTTGACTAGTACTATTAAAACAGAGATTCCTGGGCCCCACTCTAAACCTACTGAATCAGACTTTCCAGGGGAGCAGAATGGTAAGGTGCAATTAACAAGCATTCTAAGGGATTATTAATTGGGAAACATTACCCTAAAGGACAAGCACAATACCTGGAAGGACACTGGTGGCTAAATGACACAGGTGAGAGACTTGTTTGGGTACAAGAGTGATCTGATGTTTCTGACCTGCGAGGATACATTCCCAGAGAGAGAAATTCTGTGTCCCTGGAGACACAAGGAGAAATCCTAAACACAAGGCAGCCAAGATTCTTTGGAATAAGTTCTGCTCCTCTGCTCCTCTCTCTGGTGAAACAGCTCAGAAACTGCCAGGACCATGCCAATGTCCAAAGAATGGCTGAGCAGTGAGTCTGGCCCAACAGGCAGCATCAGGACTGGCAGAGGAAAGCAGGTAGAGTGGCCACAGATGTGAATGAAATCACCCCATGAACCAGAAAGAGTTTGGGAAGGATGTTGAAAACATTGGCATCCAGTAGATTTGTTTCTGGGGGCCGAGTGAGAGCATTAGTAGTAGTAATGGGGACAGCAGTTCAGGGTTTGCGAGCAGGCTACAAAGCACTCTGCTTGCATCATCTCATTCACTCCACTAATTAGTAAACAATTAGCAGACACCTGCTCCCTGTGCCAGGTGGGGCTCAGCCTAGGAGACAGAATGGTTGTAGTTGATCCCTGGGCTCCACAGGCCATTCTGCTCACTTGCATCATCCCACCTAATGTACCTGCCAAATCACTGCACTTTTCTGCCTCAAGATTTTTTCTAAGCAGAGCTTCTTCCCTTGGCATGCAAGTGTGCAGAGTCAACTCCCCTTGGGGGCCTTCTGCCAATGTAGAGTGGAGTGTGTACCTCCTGATGTCAACAGCGTAAGTGAGATACTTTTGCCACAGTTTTGGGGGGACCCCAGAGTGGACCCTACTAAGCTCCACCCCTGCTGTTAACAGTGGACCCTCAAGTTACAACCTGCCAGACATATGAACAACTTGGATTACTTAGGTTAATGGAAGATTCATCTGCCGTCATCTTGTTATCTATAGCATCTACCCAAATAAACATCCAGACCTCAGCTGTATTGACTTAGTTATGACCAGCCCTCAGGAACCGATTGAGTTTCTAAGTCAAGGGTCCACTGTATTTCCTATTCCTTGGGTCCACCTCCCTCCCAGCCTCTCCTTTGAGGAGAAGGCTAAAGCGAGACAGTGAACAAAGTGAGAAAGCAGACACAATCTCTGTATTTCTGGAGCTTATAGTCAGGAAAAAGGAAGCTAATCACACAGATGACTTATTTCAGTGGTAGATACAGTGAAGGCCACAGAGGGTCACAAGTGACAGTGGGTGGGGGGCCCCATTTTGAAAGACAGGGGAACATTTGATGATATTTATAAATGTTCACTGCACTAGGCTCTGTGATAATACAACTGTACTCAGACTTTCAACACTAACTTTTAAAATATGAATCAGAATGGCTCTATAAACAAAATAATATTTAAAAAGAGGCACAGAGGATTTGAATAGGCATTGATATTAGACAAGCCTAAGTGCTACCCGTGCCCTAGTGAAGGTTTCCTTTCTCAAAAGAGTCCTGGGTCTCTAACCTTTACCTCCCTTTTTCCCTCCATCTTCATTGCCACATCTACCTCCAACATGGATGATATATTAGCTTGCAAGACATCTCCCTGAGTATAAAACATAGAACCAGAGTGGCAGCCCTAAGAAGTAAGCCTGAGCATCTCATTTTCCTATTTATAATCTCCAGTGGCTTCCCTTTAGACTTAGACAAAATCCAAAATCCAAGCCCTGACTAGTCTGGCCACTACCAGCAACATATAATACATTCTCTCTCCAGCTTTCTTGTCTGGGCTGATGCATTAGTGATTCGAAAGGCAGGTCAGAGAAGCCCCAGTCTCTCCATACCTGTGTCTCACTCAAATTTGACAAAGGACATAGCCTCTTTCTTGCAATTATCTTAAAGCTGGTTCTTAATTATCTTCTTGTACCAGTTCCAGGTTCTTCCCTTGCCCCCTAAGTCACCTAATTCTCTACTTATTTTATCTGTCAGTGGTTCTCATCTCCAACTCACTTTTTTCTGACACTAACCTTTCTTTGCTCTAGGGAGCTGTTCCATGGGAAAAGTTGAATATGTGGCCTGAGCTGGGCCCATTAATTTCTTTTCTCTGGTAGTTAAGGTATGAGAAGGAGTGGAAAGCAATTCATACTCGATAATCCAATAGTGACACTTCAGGGGGACAAGTTCCTGTCACTGAGATTCAAACAGTTCATGAACTAGACCTAATCCTTTCTCTTCTCAGGGCCTGACTCTTTACCTGAAGTGTATAAGCTACCAGACCCTCTTTCCTTGACTGATTCAATTAATTTCTATTGTTTACTGGAACGCTGACCCCTATACTTACAAATGCTACCATTACCAAAAAGTAACTACTTGGCTCACAACAGTTTGGGTCCCCTCTGGCATGCACAAGATCAGTAAGGTTGCAAGAATTTGCTCACTGGAAAGGACCATTTTCTTGATGCTCATTTTCCCAACTGCCACCATTTGTAGCCATCATTTAGGACCACTTGTACAGCCACTACACAAGCTATTTTGTAAATATTTTAATCACATATACAACTTGAGCAGAAGAATCCAAATCATTGGAATCTCAACTGGCAATACAGGAAAATAAACAGTTTCAAGGTATACATAATTTTTTATTCAACCATAGAGAAGCTAAAGCCTACCTTAA